CATGTGCTCAGTAACCAAATTCAAAATAGTCAATGCATGAGTACTGCAATCCTCATTCGCCTCAAAATCAATCAAATTATGCTTCAATATCATCTCCATAATTTCCAGTACACCATAATCCAGTGAAGCCTTTTGTAAATCCTCATTATTCATAATAATATTCATCAAGCACCCACAAGAGATGGCAATCAGCTTAATATCAAACGACTTCACGTCCAGCGTGGTCTTCATCAGTGTGATTAGCGCCTTGAGGCCATCCTTGTCCACAATTACTCTTGCCTTATCATTTTCAAAACACAAGTTGCCTAGTGCTCTACATGTCTGCAGTGTGATGTTTTTGTCACTCTGGCTGAGGAACGGAATTAATTGTTTGATTATGTTGCCGTTCGTAAAGCAGTTGCGGTTGTCTTCTTGTTTCGAGAGCTCCGCGATCGTCTGCGTCGTCAGGATAAGAATGTCATTGCATTTGATTGTTAGCAAAGTTTCGAATGTGGAGACGTCCGCCACGGTCACATCCTTCGGCTGCGACAGAATGGCGTTGAGGTGTTCGGTGATTCGTTTGAACTCTTGTGCGGCGACACTTTCTTTTAGCTTTTCTAGTAAATGTGCCATTTTTATTTAGAGCAGATTGTAACATCGAAGAAAGGTGTTTTCCCAGGTCGGTGGCATAACCTCAACTTGTTGAAAGTGGAACTGTCAGTGCGGACCAGTACGAACCGCCCCAGGATGGATTCTGCCGTTTCTGGAAAGATTGGTTGGTAAGGTTGGTAACGTAAGATGGAAATCGATAAAATCATCAAAAAATTTATGTCACATTCGGGGTTCTATTTTATGCGGTGATGTATGATGTTTTCTTTCATTCCATACAAATAAAAACATGGAAATTTGTTAAAAATTGGGAATTATTATACTTTTAAAGTATGATTCGCCGTTTTTTCTATGATAATAAGTAAAATACGACCTATATTTTATCATTTTCATTCGTAGTTACCTTTTTATGCACGTTAATAGTAGAAAACTACCTTAAAAATGATTTATTTTGCTTCTTATATTAAAATTTAAAGTTAATTAAGGTTATGTTTGGTTAAGTTGGTCGGAAATAACTTCATCATGAAAGTTAGTAAAGAATAACTTTATTGAAATAAATTCATCTTTACAATATCACAAGTACTTTAAGTTTTTGACATGTCTTTATGCTAACGTTACAGTTTTCTCATCTTTCTCATCAGTAGTAGAATTAATAAAAGAAAAATTACTCTTAAAATACCATATTTGTGTCCGTCTGGTACTCTCACAGCAAAAATGGCCGATACATTTGTATAGCTCGGTGTCACTTCATTTGGATCGTCCTTCGTCGCGCTGCCATCGTCCGCATCCACGTCGAATCAGTTTAACAAAATATGAATCTAACGTAAAAAAAGATATGTAACAGAAAGCTTTGTACTTGATTTTTATGTTTAGTTCGCGCGTTGTGTCTTGTGTTTCATGTGTGTGTGTGTGTATCGCGTGTTTGAGAATTAAAATTAATCATCGCTCAATTGCTTGATAAAAAATTAAGTAAAAATAAATACGTGATCCCAACAATTTCTTGATTTAAAAAAATAATAAGAAGAACGGCGGAAAAGATCGCTTTCGTCTCGCTTTCAGTTATAGTTTTATTCCGAACGCAATGCTACGCCTATGTGACGCTGTCGGGCGGCGCTGCGGCATTCACAATCTCATTAAACGACTGATCCAACCAGTGCTTCAACTCTTCGTAGCTCACTACCAGAATGCTTTGCTCATCTCTCGACGTCAAACATATCTTGAGAAAACAATGTTAACACACCACAATAAGAAATTTTAATGCAATAAATATAAATCTCGCACTCACCTTTTCAGGAACGCCCGCATCTAGTTTATTTAAGCATTGAATGACGTGTGCCAAGTCCACCCACGGCCGGCCGTCCTCCATCACTTGGTGGAATACGTAATCACGGAATAGTTTGAGTAAATATCTATCACCGGTCTCGGACCAGGTTTGATCCAAATTAAACCTAAATCATCAAAATCATTAAACACTTTTTTTCAATTTAAGAGAAAACAAAAACTTACTCTGGCCTTTCATTAATTGTCCCCAGTTTCACCAACAGTCTAAACAATCGCCCATTCTCCAACTCCTTCGCCACCTCGTTCTCTAGAATATCAGTGAGCGACTGACTATTGTCTAATTGCATGTAGAATCGCGCGCCGATCATCGGCATGAGGTCAACTAAACTTCGGCGCCTGTTCGACAAGAGATACAAAATCAAGTTCCTTAAATCTGGAGTATAGTTGCGAGTTACAATTTCGACCGCAGTCGAGATGTTATTGGGTTGAACGGCCATCGTGGATCTACAAGCGAGCGCCAGGACAAGTTTACCCAACGCGGCGAGATCTTCCTGCTGATATGAATCAGTGTGGTTGGAAGTGTCCGTCATGGTCACATCCAACACACCCAAGCAACTGAGACGCAATCGTTGACCAGACGTTATGATGATTTTGGTTGGATCCAGGCTTCTACAAGCCAAACCTACAACAAAACAATCAATTAAAACATGTTGCATCATTCTTGAGTTTATTATTACCTGAAGAATGTATTATCCTTAGCGCAGAAGTAAGTTGAATGATGTAGTTCCAGATTTCCTGCTCGGGTAGTTTATTGGATTGAGTATGACGGAGAATGTTGTTTTTCTGATGTGAGTAGGGACGCGGCGTTGAGGGATCCGTGGCGAACGGGTCCTGATAACCATTTAGCTGATCGTTTTGGAAATGTTTACTCAAGAGGGTTTCCGAACCGGGATGATAATCATATACGAACACCATAGCTGGAAAAATAATACAAACATAAATTGGCACGAAAGTTGATAAAACAGGTTAATATTACAATTATCGCCAAAGTCCTTCGTTGTGAACACCTCCTTTAACTGGACAATATTGGAATGCACGAGTTTTTTCCACGTATCTACATAGGACATACACTTGGTGTTTTGCAATCGGAAGCCTGTAAACAAACAAGATTATCATGTTTTGTGTAAATGTATATTTGAGTAAGTTTAGTAGCATACCATGAATTCTCCTAAGACAATAGCGGACGCCGGTCTTGATATGGGTCGCCTTGTACATGGTAGCAGGATAGCCCATTGGTGCCTTCTGCATGGGCTCCAGTGGATAGAGATCGTGATAGTTATCCACTTCGTGCGGCAGATCTTTGCAACAAAAACAAAACAAAACAAAAATCACACATTGCTGATTAGTTTTTAAGAGGGCTATGCGTTATTTACCTGGAAAATGCTCGGGATCTGCCTGCAGGAGTGTTAAAGCATTGCGCTCCAGTATGTCCATTCGTATGTTTTCGGAGACGAAAAACGACGAGTTGACGCCGCGTGACTTCAGCGTACTCACATGACTAGGAGATCCGGGATACACCTGGAAGCTTGCCGCGATGCTGCTGTTCATCGACGTCAGTGTATCGTTAGTGTTTTGCGAGTTTTCGCCGGACGTCGGGTAGAAATACGTTGTACCATTTACATTTTCCTAAGAAAAATCAAAGAAAATTAATATAAAATCATATTTATCTAAGGAAGTTTGTATACCTGATAGGCCACAGCAACCGAAGGTTTCTCTAAAGCTACATTTGGAATTGGAGAACAATTTGTCAGGTTATTAGGCGGTGGCGACGGTTGCGGTGTAAGATGCGGTGAGCCATTGCCACTGTGTGGAGAATCCACCAACCTTGAGAACGTGTTCGGCTGGTTCGAGTATGTATTAAATAAATTGGGCGAAGCTAAAAACAAAGGAAAAACAACATTATACATTTCAATGTTTTGCACTCCTTACAGCTTAAAATTGGTCTTAAAAGATTATAATTTCATGTGATATTTGAGTGTTAATTACAATTTTAAGTAAGAAAATGATGAAAAAAGCAAAAAAATCATACCTGAATTACTGGAGGTGACAGCACGAGATCCGGGAACAAACTCAGGTGATTGCGGTGTTACTTTCTTGGAAGAAACGGGTGAATCGATACTAATTTTAGCAAATGACTGAGATAAGTTATTGGTACCCACAGGTGTGCTTGTACTTTGTCGATTCTACAGAGAACAACGAAAACATTCTATAGCCTACATATTCTTGAAATAACAATAACAGAAAGTGGGTGGCATTGAGAGTGAGAAACATACCATGTAAGTGGCCAGCTTGGACTCCTGTGGTACTCCGTTTGGGGTAGCAAATGGCATGTACAAAGAGTGGTCCATTCCCACCGTCGCGAGCTAGGGCCCCGCGCGCTAGGTATCAATGCTGCGACTTGCGTTTAACTATCTCGCATGCACATAACATTGTTTGTTGCAAAGTGGTCGCCGAGGGGTTTCTAGAACATCATCACCACTGAATGAGGTTAGAGACTTGTACTTACATATTGCGAGTAATCGCGAGCGGATTTTTGAAGCGATTCGAGCGGAACGGAGCGGAGGACGTGCGGGAAAAAGTACTATACGGCGTGTGAAGCTGCGTGCGTGCGGTCGGAGGAAAACAATGGGCCAGCTTGGGACCTTGGGAAAGAGAGGAGCTTGGTCGCTGGCGACGCGAACGTCTTCGGGCGGCCAGCGGGTGCTGTGATTGAGTTGCGAGATATCTAACACACCGTTTTGCGTTCAAAATACATTCGCTCGTCGTCCACGGCGGCGAGAAAAACGAGGGAAATGATGAGAAAAGTCGACACAAATGACATCTACGTACTCTCAAAACAAAAGCTTCATCGCGCATTCACCCACTGCTTTGCGAACCGTTGGTTTGGAGGAGCCACTTGGTGCGGCGAGAGTGCGAGACCCGAGACGCGACCGAGACGCACAACACACCAGCGGGACGAGCGCGAGGCGGACGAAGAACGCGAAACGAGCGAAAACACGAATTGAGGTCGCTGGCGTCATCGCCGAGCGGGCCGAGCGCGCAACTACACGAGCCGCCACGCTCGAAAATCAAAACCGCTCGCTTTTTACTTATCAAAATATTAATTAAAAGCGCGCAACTGTTTATGCACTCGAGTTGTGAAACTACTTCTAGTCGGCATTATTTCGTTCAACAACGCGTGGTTATTAATAGAAAGGCACGCTTATCAAAACTCAACAAAACAGTGTTTAAAAATTATCTATGCAAACATTCAAATATAAATGTGGTGCGTTATAGTTATTATTATTGCTTAATTTAATTATTTATTAAATATCTTTATTAATTTATTCTGTTTTAGGTCTGGATTTTCGCTCTGCAGCTGCAATAAATTAAACAGTATTTAAAAAAAGTCAAACGTCAAGCACAATTCAAAATCAACTTCATACAACTATCAATTTTAAGGAAAACAGGTGATAGTTTTACAATTTATGCATAAAAACATGGCAGTTACAACAAAATATAACTAATATTCCTTTAAAATCTTGTTTATTCACAACTCGAACATACAACAAAAAAAGTTTACACATTTTGGAGGATAAATGGCACAGTTTTCTTCAGTTTTCATCTGTTTTTCTCTTTTTAATGCCGCGGTTTTTGCCATTCAGCCTGAGCCGTTTCACTGCCTTTTTTTGAGGAAAAGTACTTCCGGTAGCTTCGATATCCTCATTGACAGTCGAATAATTTTCAGCTGGTCCAATTGTCTTCTGCATCTTTATCCATTCAACAGCACCTCGCAAAGCCATTTCTAACGAGAAGAAATCTGCTTTACCTTTGCCAAAGGTCCTTATAAAATCTAAATATGCTGCAGCAGGAGGATTAAGTTCTGTTGATCTGGCATAATTAACAGACTCATTGGAGGATTTTTCAGGTAGAGATTTTTGGCCACACATGATTTGTGCAGTTTGAATCAGTGTATAAAAAGAATTTATAAAGGAAACGAGGATTAAGTTTTGTTGCAACGAGCTTTTTTGGTTTTTAATCAAATTTTGACAAATCAAACAAAAATTTCAGATATGTTGTCATTGAAAAACAAAAGGATTACTTTGATTATTGAATAAAAACATATTCTGTTAAAAAATCAACTAAAATAAGGCAAAAGTATGTTTTTAATTATTTATTACATAGAAATAGTACTCAAAAATACAAAATGGACGGATTTTTCAAGAGTTATAAACATTACAAAGTCATACTTTTAAAATAATACTTTCTGCGTGAATATTCATGTAAATTGCTTTCGAGATTCTAGTTTAAACTAACACTACTTGTACATAATCCATAAAATGCTATAAAATATGATGTTTAAGGCATTGCTTCAGCATAAGACACTTTTTGTTCATAGGCTTTATCCTCCCAATCATTATCATCTGGCAGAGCAGTATGCCTCAACTTGCATAAACGATGCCCAAACCTGAGCATCACAATAATAACGCCAACGATGAGAAACATCGTTACGCAAGCTGTGACCGGCCAATATATGTGCAACATTTTGTGTTTCTTTTATTTATATGATAATATCTAGATATCACTCTCTCTGCTCTTCTGATGCAACTCCAAATATTCAATAGGTTGTTGTCTTGAACCTCTTGGTTCGTACTGGTACTGCTCGTGTGTGGAGGGTAGCTCAACCTCAAGATCACTATATTGGGTCACGTCCCTAGGCAACTCCGTTACCACCTTGCTCGGGATGAACTTGGGATCAAGTTCAGAGTAATCCAAAGATGGCTGAAGATGTGGTGTTGCTGTCCAAAGCGAAACTATCCACCTGTTACCAGTATGGCGGTCGTTCCAGTAAGTAGAGTATTTTGAACAACACCCAACAATATTAATGATGATTATAATTGCTGCGATGATAGTGCAGACGGTGACAGTGATGTAAAACGGGCTGAAATCACCGTATTCGTGCTTTTTGAAGTAAGGGCTCTGCAGGTATGCTCGTCGTTCGTTGATATCAAGCACAGACATGGCAATGGGCAGATGGCATTGAGTTTACATCAATGCAGTCTAAAAATATTAAAAATTATTATTTCTTATGTAAAATATATAAATTAACATATTCTTACAGTAATTTTAGCTAAGAATGAATGGAATGTGTTCTCTCGTATGAACTCATGTGAAGTTCTACACAACACTGAAGTCTATAGTTGACTAAGTGGGTGTGGTGTCTTGCACATAACACAGCACAAATTCAACTAACTTTAATGAAGATTAATCAAACATGACTCATGAACTGCTATCAAGACGTCGCTGTCCTACACTATTAAGATGTACCGAGTAATAAAAACATTAAAAAAAGCTACGTACCTTTTTGCGAAGTGTTGCGATGCTTTTAGCACGAACTACAGCGCCGTGCGGCTTGGAACGCTTGCAAGAAAGCTTGTTTACGGCACCACTTCCACCTGTAATGTGTGAGCGAGGCGGTTACGATGACGTAGCTCTGCGCAGTTATAAACTAGTTAAACAAAGAACACTCTAGCAGTTGGGTGTTTCTTTCTACTTCGTTTACCTGCTCGAACTCGTCGAAACTACGCGCACGTTGACTGCGTCCGATATAATACAGGTGTGCCTCGTAGGTGCAAAGTGGGTTGCATTATTCAGTATGCGTAGAGAGCATTTTCGAGCCATTTCGAGCATTTATTTCCTGCCGTGGCGGTGGCGGTGGCGGCGGTTCTCAGCATTCAGCGTGCGTGTGATGGTAGGCAGAGAAGTTTCGGGTCCATTACCTCGGAAAATTAACCCCGAGCACCCTGTAGCGTGCCGTGCGTCGTTAATAACTCGTTAGCGCTTAAATCTTCTGGACATAATTACGCGTCGCAGTCGGTGCAGTCTGGCGCAGGCTGCGTTACGCTAATTCAGTTTCTATTTATTGCACGAAATTGAAATTATTGATGCATTTGCATTATTATTTACCGATTATTCATAAATTATTATTTTAAAGTAAGTTTTCAAACTTGCAAAATTAAGAAATTCATTTATTATGACTTATTTTATAGTTGTGACAGTGTTATTACTGTTGTAGGTGAAAGTTTTCAATATTTTTATTCATAAATCTGTATTAAGTTGAGATGTGTTCACAAATTACAATTTAGATAACTAAACGCAAGCCGTTTCAGCTTCCCCTTCGCAATCGCTTCACAAATCTCATAAAAATCTCGTTAGGAACCAACTATTCAACGCCTCGGCAACCCCTAAAATAATTTAGTTATTACGCTGCAGCCCCAACCTTCCTGCCTCACTTCGCGTACTAGATATCTTCCATAACGTGGATTCTCCACCAAACTCTCTGCGCAAACTCAGCTGGCGATGATTTATACACGGGCACTATTATTTTAATGTCGCTTTATTATCGTCATTGTGCGAATTCAGTTCGCTTCTGACCGTGGTAATTGTAATTTGGTTTGCATACATTCAAAGGTAACCTGTGGTTCTGTCTGCTGGGTAGCATGTGAGTCTGATGCGGTGACATCAACTTTGCAAAACTAGCAACAACAGGAAGAACAGGGACACTGAACAAGATAGAGATGATTGTAACTTGAGCTACACCCTGTTACACACGAACATGTACGAGTATAGAAGGGTAAAGAGCGTGAGGGAGGACGAGCTGAAACAATAATAAATAAATCTGCATTGTGGTGACGTGTCGGGAGGCGCACCGCAGCGAAGAGAATCGAGCAGTAGGCAAAGGGGTGAATTCAGGACGTCGTATGATATATACAGAGTGTTACAGAAACATTATACTATTTTATAGGTATAAACGAAGAAGTAGACTAAATGTTTGTGAGGACCAGAAGTGGATTCATGCAAAATGTTGAAAGATAAGAGCATGTTGTGCAGCGTGGTGTGGGAGGCGCTTCTTCCCTTGTTTCCCTTGTAATTAAAACCGGCTTGAATGTGCAACAATGTGAATGCATTGTGCTCAAAGTCGACGGAGGTGTTCACCTAACATTCAATGGTAAATTCAACGAATATCGCTGATCATCTTTTATTCACACCTTTTATATCAGCAGGAATTTAAAAATTCACTAAACACCATAAATTTCTGTTCCATTTTGGGTAATTTTGTGTTTATTGTAATTTTATCCGCAATTGTTTTGAATACACCCGGTTCGGTTCATGTGGGAGTTTAAAGTTTATGAATTTTACTCCGCCAAAATTACTCGTATGAAGAATTTTTAATAAATTTGGGTCGTATAGTTGCGGGATATTGAATCGTTGATGTTCGAGTTGTTGTAGTACGGTTTGTGTGAGAATGAAGTACATTTTTCATTGTTCTCCGGAATTACACCGCAGCGCGGATGTTTGTTTTCGGCAAATATTTTCACATTTGCATAATAATGATGTTATTCTTGGGTAAGCCGCAAATAGTACACCGACCACCTTTGCTACCAAATTAATTTTCATATTTAAATGCAGTGCAGGTGGAATTTTATTCAACATGCAAACAATTTATAGATTACCTGCCAAATGGCAACGTAATCAACATTTTTTCGATATCAAGTTTTGCACAAAACCTTCGACTTTGTCATAGTTCTTATTCTGGTTTTGTGTATCACTTTGAAACTGCTTTAATTTGAAGATATCAACAGTATTTTTTATTCAAAATTCAATTTTTGCGAAAATATTCTTAAAAAAGAGTATAAAACCGATAAAAACGCTTCTTATTCATTTCAATTAAGTCTGCCAAATGTCAACTGGTTTAAATCTAACTTTACAACTACTAAAAACAGATTTTTGTATTCTCATCGAATATAATTGCATCTCGATTTCCACACACAACAAAATACTCGTACTTGCATAACATGTCAAGCATCTAAATGCACCAGCGCGTCAATTGCGATTTTCAAGATTCCGACCTCTGCGCGTCGAAGCGATCTTAAAAGTTAAGCACATGGTGATGAAAGACGATACCAAAGCGCGCTAGGTAGTCGATATCGTGGGGAATTTCGCTCATCTCGCCGACACTGCCGCCAGCGACATGCCGGCAGGCTGTTAGCGCTGCGCTCGCAGCCGGGGCGAAGGATATGTGTATATTATTATAGCCGCTGCCGCCGGTTGCCGCCGCCGTCGAGCTGTTAGCGCGGGGCGAATTCTCGTGTGCACATAACGTATAAGGATATCAACGTAATATACGTGCGCCGCTTCCCGTGCTTGCACGTCGCCAGCGTGCGAGTGTTGGATTACGCTCTTCTGCTTTGGCCTTAAGCAGACATAAAGGATCGTGACGTTTAATCGATGTTTAGCGAAAAACGCGCGCTACCTTTGTGTGCATTATCAAACATCACAAACGAAATAAAATGTGTTAATTTGTTCCCGCACAAGTTTAATAATTTTTTTTGCAAAATTTGCGAATTTAAATTTTTTATTTATTTGCATGAGTTTAGGCTTCATTCAATTCCATTCACGTTTAGTCGTTCCTTTGAGTACACTTCATGTCTTGAAACTCCATTCAATAAGCAAAGAGCACTGTTAACGCCTTTATTCTACCCGCGTTAATAGTGCGTACATTCCATACGTTCTCCTCAAAGCGTCGCAATGGCTGCCAACTCGAAAGCTGCAAGCTGCATGCGATTGCGCTTCAGTTGCCAGAGTATGTGCACTTTTGCATCTTCTCATTTACGCTGCGTCACATAACATACGTTTATAAACCCGGATAGAAACATTTTTATTTTAAAAGTGCTTGAATTCCTAAGTTTACGAATTCCTGTTCAGACCGTACATTCTACACTCTTATAATGAGCATATGTGGTTTTTTTTTTGTGCCACGGACATATTTTGCAATTCATGAATTTCGCGTTTGCGTGGCCGGCCCCGGCGGAACACCAAATGTTCCAAGTGAGGGTGGACACGACGCTAGTGTCCAGTTGGCGGCGTGGATGAACAGCGTCAGCTAGAGCGTGGTGAAAAAAGGGCCGCACATTTGCACGCTGATTATTCCGCTGGCGTAGACACGCGAACTCGTCGCCATTATTACTAAACTAATTTTCGTGTGCATTTCCGCTGGTAATTGTCAACACTCGCACCGGACAAATACAAACGCATTTGCTGTGTTGTGCTAATGTGAATATAATGGAATAATACATTCAAAAACGACTCAAAACTCAAATTTTACAAATTTTACTTCATATGTCTTCCAATAAACAAAAATTATCATTTAAAAAATTAATTAAACTAAAGAAAAACGATTTAGAGGTAAAAATGTTATGAGTTGAATGTAAAACTGGTTGCATAGCATGGTTTTGCATCAATACACTCAACACACTTTGCACGGAGAGTAGTATACTCGTAAAACTTGGTTATATGTTGTCACTTTTGATACTTTGGATGTTTTTCTTGGCAGCTAACACTCTAAATTGATGTGAACCGTTACGCTAGTAGCCTGAGCCTGAGCCAATTCGTGTGTGAAACTTAATTAACCCAAATATCGGCCCGTGCGTTGAACATAACATAAACTCATTCATTATTACCCATGGAACGGTCACGCCCTGAACGACCTAGTGCCGGTCGAATCTACCCTCCACCAGGGTGCAATCGCACGCGTTCAGCGTCAACAAATCAACAGTCATCAACCGGACTCATCCAGTGTGTGTTAATATACGACCAGGCATTATTTCACGCGGATCGCATTAATCCAGTTGAGGGGGTTTGCAAATTTTTGTTTCTGTCATGTCTTTCACTCGAAGTATTAAAGGCATTAAGGATTACCAAACAGTACAATCAGTTGTATTATCTTCTATTGTTGTAACAGAATGATCAATACTCATTACTTCTTATCCTACTTCAAGAGGATAATAATATTTTTGCACAAAATATTTTGTTTAAATGGTTTCTATAAAGCAATTTATATACAAAACAAAGTCGTGTTAGTTAGATCAGTTATAACTCAAGAACGGCTTGATCGATTTTGACGATCTATGATTTGTTGGATTCATCTTTGTCCCAAACAGCAGAATAACTAGTAAAATATTGAAAGTTATGACCTAAGAGGTGTTAAATAAGAGATGAAAGTTGGTATAGAAATTAAATTATAGTAATACTTAAATAATTAAACAATAGGTGGCGCCAAAGTGCGGTATTAGCATTTCTTATTTATTTAAAATAAAACTGCGAATCTTATTGATCGGATCGACGCATACTAAGTCCAAGAAACAAAAAATAAAAAGCTAGTTATTCATAAATTTATAGTTTCATCTATCACGTTCCAAAACAATTACGCAAATGATTATTGTTATTGTGGCATTTGCGTTTATGCATTTCGAATTTATTCTGATTACAATTGCCATAGTTACGCAACACGCGTGACACTAATGGTAAACCGCGACACAGTTATCAGATTAACGTCATTCACAATTAAGTTAATAGAAACATAAGTGCGAGTGCGCACATTTCGTGTCACCATTCTTATCAGCGCGCGTATTAACGAAAGCTCTAGGGGAGTTT